TTACAAGAATAATTATTGAGTAAATGACTCAGCTTTACCACTGGTCAGGAATAAGACCTGTCCTGAGAAGAACCAGCAAGAAACCCAGCGGCTCTTCTTTTTTAATAAAATTAATTTACAATATATTATTTTATGCAGTTAGTATGAAAATATTTGGAAACAGCTTAGTAGCGATCACAAGCATTCACATATCGATTTCATTGGTCGTTTTCAATAACAATGTAAGGTTTCATAACTAAAGGATTTTATTACGTTTGAAGGAACAATGATTTCTAAGAAACATATTTTATCAATATTGGCTTCTTGATAAAAATATGTTTGGTTGATTTCAAATATAAGTTCTTTCGTTTATTTTGATTATGAATAACTCGTAATACGTGGTAGAGCCATGCTGCAGCTATATTACTAGTATAGTTGTAGCACGAATGGGTCGCCTCCGTTGGGGAAGGTCCACGCTCTCACAGAATACCAGCTAGAAATAGCTGCTTAATTAATGCTGCTGTGTTTCATATGGTGAGTGTAGAGGACCGGACCCTTTTTACTGGAAACGAGGCATTCCATCTTAGTCCTCACGGGTGACAACGCTTCAGCATTTCGATTCTTAATTGAGAACATATGTAGGTGTTTATGGGCCACAGCATCCACTTACCATCAGGTGAACTGTGTTCGTTCACCACCCTTATTTTATAAAAAAAACCTGTGTGTGTACTTATGTATACACGTAGGAAGTTATACTTCTTTAGCGTAACAAAACAAAAATAACTAAAAATAACTACCTGAAATATAGTTATCAGTTCCCACGAAAACTTAAGAGACAGTTACCCACTGAAGTGGTCGCTCTAAGGTGCCATTGTGCGCAAAACAGATGCGTTGTCACTTCTGAGGACTAAGATGTAATGCCTCACAGCTTATAATTATACTGGCTCTATATAACCTTCAGACCGGAAAACTGTTTGTTGTTGTGTGTGTTTTCACACGAAAGAAATGAATATAGAAAAGGTAAGATTCCTTTTCTATGTAGGAGTCCGACTGTATAGCAATGCGTGCCACCTAAAAAATAATAAAACTTGAAATACCGTCTAGTGTGATGATAAATAGGTCATGCACGTAGGTAATGAAAATTTTTCAAGTGTCAATTTGCGGGAAGTGTTTATAAAACACGCCACAAAACGAAGATCCGATTACAGTAAGCGATAGCTTAACGTCACAATAGTACAATGAAATAAAGAAATATGATGCTGAATTTCCTTAAAAATCGACTGGAAGCGCAATAAATTAAAATGGTATATGACTACACCTTTAATGCTCGTATTGAAGAACCAGGGCTCCATAGTCTTTGCTAGAGATCTGTCTGCCAGAAAGAGCCAACTGTCGAAGCTGAAGACCGAGTGTGGCAGCATCGTTTCCGGTACACCTGAGATTTTGAGTGAGGTTGAGAGGTTCTATGGGCGGCTGTACACATCATCGTTGTAGTCATACAAAGGTGTGAGTAACGATCCAAGAGCAAGTCTTATCCGACACTATTTGGATGATATTCCGGACGTCAGTCTGAGCGAGATTAGAATGGCTCTCCAGCACCTTAAAACGGCAAGGCCCCAGGCGAAGATGGGTTTACAGCGAAGCTTCTGAAAGCGGAAGGAAAACCGATACTAGAAGTCCTTCAGATGCTCTTTAATTCCGTCCTCGTTCAGAGTCCTCGAGAGGTCAATCGACTGTGCAGCGTCCGGGAAATTACGGCACATCTTCTCGTCAGGTATACCTCAAAACTTGAAAACGAGACTGTACAACCAGTGCATGTTTAGTTTCTCTGCGTGATAAACTTAGGAATGAGGATATCCGCAGTAGAACCAGAGTAACCGACATAGCCCAACGGATTAGTAAGCTAAAGTGGCAGTGGGCCGGCCATGTAGCTCGAAGAACCGACACCCAATGGGGAAGAAAGGTTCTCGAGTGGCAGCCTCGTACCGGTAGGCGAAGTGTAGGGCGACCCCCCACGAGATGGAGTGACCACCTGGTAAGACATGCAAGAAGTCGATGGATGCAGGTGGCTCAGGACCGTGCTTTGTGGCATTCCTTGGGGGAGGCCTATGTTCAGCAGTGGACTTATGAAAGGCTGTAATGATGATGATGATACTATATTATATAAATGTACGCTGCTTTAGGGTAGCCTAAGGGCCACCTCAGCCTCACCATAACCTAGTGCCATTGATATTAAAAGATAGGTGTAATGTTGTATTAGACGCATCGCCTAAATATCATTCAGGTCGCTAGTTGATTGGCGCCGTTTAGTAAAAAGGCTAAGCTAGGTTAACTGAAAGGCTTAATTAAGCGAGGTGGCTGCGACATACATGTATACACATAGAGCTGCTGTTTGCGCTAATTTTACTTTTTTAACCCCCCGACGCAAAAAGAAGGGTGCTATAAGATTGACTATGTGGGTGTCTATTTGTCTGGCTGTGTGTCTGTCTGTGTCTCTCTGTCTGTCTGTCTGTGTGTCTGTCTATCTGTGGGTCTGTCTATCTGTGTGTCTGTCTGGCTGTGGGTCTGTCTGTGTGTCTGTCCGTCTGTGTGTGTCATTGTGTCTGCCTGGCTGTGTATCTGTCTGGTTTTGTGTCTGTCTGTCTGTGTGTCTGTCTGTCTGTGTGTCTGTCTGTCTGTGTGTCTGTCTGTCTGTGTGTCTGTCTGTCTGTGTGTCTGTCTGTCTGGCTGTGTGTCTTTGTGTCTATCTGTGTGTCTATCTGTCTGTCTCTCTGTGTGTGTGTGTGTGTGTGTGTGTGTGTGTGTGTGTGTGTGTGTGTGTGTGTGTGTGTGTGTGTGTGTGTGTGTGTGTGTGTGTGTGTGTGTGTGTGTGTGTGTGTGTGTGTGTGTGTGTCTGGCTGTGTGTCTTTGTGTCTATCTGTCTGTCTGTGGCCTTAAACGGGTGAACCGATTTGGGTGCGGTGTTTTTAAATTTAAAAGCAGGTTTATAAACATGTTTTATTAAAATCGGTTCGGTCGTTTCAAGGTCATCAGCTCTCTTGTTTCTGGAGTTTTGAAAATTTTCGTTTTAGTTATTATAACATGCATCAAGTTTCTTTTATTCCTTCTAAACAGATTTGCTAATTTCTTTTGGCTCAACTTTACAAAACCTACAATCGATTTCTAGGTTCAAATTAATAAGGACCAGATCTTAGGTTTGTTAGTCTATTCCTAAAATATTATGTTGCGCGAGCGTTTAGTTTTCGAGATATAATATTTTGAAACTATCTTATACTTACGTGAATGATATGATTTTTTTAGGTACATTAAACACTTGCGATGATGATCTATATATATTTTATCTAATTATGTAACATATTCTCACATAAAATATCTAATTCACTAACATTTTCCTGTTAACAAATATTGTGCCAACAAACGAACACAAAAGAGGCGATAACATTTTGTATATCTAAATTCCATTTTCCTTATAAAAGGATTCCTTAAATATTATGTTGATAAGGAATGTGTAGGGATAAACAAGCCAAAATTTTTATAAAGCGTAATAAGTCGTTTGTTCTGTATTCTTGTATAATTAAAGTTTAACCTAAATATTGATTTTAATGTAATAATAATGATTTTAATGTAATAGTAATGTAATTGTTTAATAATATCAATAATAATAATTCCGGGATAAATTTCAAAAAAGATGTAGTAAGTAAAGTTTTGATAATAATAAAAATGACAATGACTTCTGTTAAGGTTGTCAAAAACACGAAAGCATTAATCAAATTTTATCACCTATAGTAGCAGTCGTCAGCACCTCAATCTTTTTGGCATTGTCGATGTTCATAATTTGACCGCTATTAAACTGGTAAACTCTAATCAGTTTACACACAGGATCTACGACCGTAAATGGCGCAAATAAGAGTATCTGAGAGATTCGTTTTGTGCGGTCAACTTTGACTGTTTGTCGTGGTAACAAAAGTGCTGAATCTTTTTTCGCCCATAGACTGAAGCCACTCAGCGAGGAAATACAGCCAGCGTTCTTCGAACTATATCGCGGATGAATTTAAGTTGGACATATGAATTAAAATATTACTATTACTGAAATGGTGACCAGCATAGCAAAAGCTCTCTAATTTCGCTCGGTACTAAAAAGTAAAAACGTAGAAGTCAGTGTAATGATTTACTGGGAAATGTTAATTTGAAAAAATTCGCGCCATATTTAGAAAGCAATAAGATCTTAATGGTCCTAAGTTCTTTTACTTTTACCCAAAAAGGTACCAAAACCCCAGATGGTGAGAAAGTAACCCTTGTAAGTAATTCGATAGCAATCTCAACTTGTAATACCCTGAAAATAAATGCTAAAAGATATTTTTAATATAGTTGCGCAAAAAGTGGCGTATTGCAGGGACGTATAGCGTTCGAGATGTGGGCTATTACATACTCCTGCTTTTTATTTACCTTTTCCAAACACGTGCGTTCTCTTTACCAACTGTCCAAATAATATCTATTAAAAATAAAAAACCAACCACGAAGTTTTTATTAAAAAAAATTCATAGAAGTTTTTATGATTCATGCTAATATTTCTAAAAAGAAGCTACTAATTTGTTTCAATATCAGTTTTAATAATTTGATTCAATGAGTTAAGTTAGGTTTCATTTAATTTCATCTCATTAAATTTAATTTTCATTTCATATCAATAAAAAAATTCTACTGAAGACTTGGCTGTATGGGCATAGTTCCCTGTGCCTACCCAGAATAGGTGAAGAAAACAAAAAAAAATCTCTGCTTGTATTCTTTTACGGTTGGCGCCATTTTCCAAAAATGTTCTTTATTAAATTGCTTTATTTTTTCGCAACTGTATTTAAAATAGCTGTTCAGTACACGTGCGGAACCGTCATTGCAACTTGTTCCGACTGTCAACCCTCACCTTCGGCTGCGCCTCGGCTCGGGTAGACATTTGACGGAACTCTGCAATGACAGGTTTTCCGCACTCGTAATGAAATATACTATATTAGTTAATGATTGGTTTGCAGGCCGACCGAGCTACGAATCTAATCCGCGGCACGCGATACGAACAATACCTGCAGGTGCGCGCCGACATCAAGGACTTCCGCGATAAGAATAAGCTGGACAGGATCATTGTGCTGTGGACGGCTAATACTGAGAGGTGGGTTGAATATAATTACGTTCTACACTTACACACGGAAGGAAAGAATTATTATGAGTTTTTTTTACCCCTATACAAATTGCCGCCGAATAATATTTGCTTGCGTGCGCGATTTATCTGATTAATAATAACTATGTACGCTAACTTTTTTTAAAAACGAACAATATGTATTTTTTTTATTTAATTAAAAAAAATTGTATGCAAATTGTATGTGGTTTTATTACCTCTGCATTGTCTGGGGAGTAAGGGGGTTGTCAGACCCCGCTTTACTTAGCTTTAGCATCGGCGAGTGTCAGTAAGAGGTAATAAAACCACATAAAATTAAAAAAAAAATTAAAAAAAATATGGTCGAGTTTTAAAAGAAAGTTATTTCTATAGGTTTGAATACTGATCCTAATAACGTACTTAACCACAGGGTTTTTGTTACATTTTGTATAATAGGTAATAAATATATTTTTTTTAGATTTTGCGATGTGCGGCCAGGTATTCACGACACGGCCGAGAACCTCGAACGTGCTCTCCGCAACAACGAGTCTGAAATATCACCGTCGACTATTTTCGCTCTCGCCGCCATTGATGAAGGAGTAAGTCTTTATATTTTAATAATCTCTTATAGGGCAAATATAGTTTTCTTTTTAATATGAAAAAGGATTTTATATTAGAAACAACAGCAAGACATACAGAAATTTAGGTGGTAGGACTTCTTTTCTGCCTATCACCAAAGCGTGTGTCTGCGCGTGTATTTGAGTTACTGTCTGAAGAATATAAAAAGCAGGTAAAATTACAGGCAGTGAGGCATTAGCCTTGTCTGTTTGGATTTGGCTGCAAGTGCAGTAGCCACTTACCATCAGGTGGACTATTAGCTCGTTTGTCGCTGCAATTTTATATAAGTACATACTTACGAACAGGTTAACTGTGTGTTCGTTTGTTATTTGTATAAAAACATGCTCAGTTAGTTGTACACAAAGTTTTGGAATATGGTAACGTAATGAATGCTTTGTAATCAGCAAGATTTTTTTTATTAGACATCTTAACACATACCAATATCTTTTAGTGTTATTACATAAACGGGTCCCCGCAAAACACGATCGTGGACGGCGTGGTGGAGCGCGCCGAGAAGATGGGCGTGTTCGTGGCCGGCGACGACTTCAAGTCCGGACAGACCAAGCTAAAGTCCGTGCTCGTTGACTTCCTCGTCTCTGCTGGTGAGTCTTTATCATCATTAACCCTTAATCACCCTCGACCGGGCGTAGGCTCCTTCCATTTTATTATAACCTACGTTTCGCAGGCGAACCCTCTGACCGATATTCAAAATCTGTGACAACTTACAATTTGCACAAGAAATTATTAATTGCAGACATATTATGTTATAGAAATTCTTTTTCCTCTCATTTAAATAAAGTATTACGTTGTTATTTTATAAGTAGATACTGAGGCCCATATACATCTACATCTATCCTCGGTTAAAGAATCAAAATTCAGATGCGTTGTCAGCTCTGAGGACTAAGATGGAATGCCTTGTTTCCAGTAAAAAGGGTTTCCGGTTCTCTACACTCACCATACGAAATACAGCAGCATTAAGCGTATTGAGCGTGGTCCTTCCCCGTTCGAGCCGACCCATTCGTGCTACAACTATACTAGTAATATAGCTGCAGCATGGCTCTACCACATATAAACGATCTTTCATTATAAAGCTCGTATAAGCTTCGCCTACTTTTATAAATTCCTACTGTCGCCCATTCATTGAATGATTTGCGACTGTTAAAAGAGTAAGTTTTAGAAGTAAATATTCTATTAAATTCAGAACTTATAATTTTAAATAATGTACCATACAAATAATCAGCACCATTTTGAATGAAAGTGATGAAAGTATTTTTATTATATTACTTCTAAACTTCTCTTAGGTACATAATGAAAAGCTGACAAACATTTTGTTGATTTAATAATGCCCTCCTTTGTCAACCATACCAAAAAGGTAAAAATTTTGAACGTTCCTTAGTTTTGTCTCTGGACGGTGTCTTTAGTCCTTGTACCACATGGCGAGAACTTAGTTTTCTTGTGTACTATATATTTTAATCGAGCGTAATTGCCCTTTATACCACTGCTCGTTCGTCTAATAAAATAAATAGTTTTTAGACTGTAATTGAAACTAAATATTTTCACAGGTCTGAAACCAGTGTCTATCGTTAGCTACAACCACCTCGGGAATAACGATGGCAAGAATCTCTCTGCACCAAAGCAATTTAGATCTAAAGAGGTAATTTATTCTTTATTTCTGAAGCTTTACAGGTGGGAATGCAATAAACTATGATTTCAGGACATTGTTTCATATAATTTAAGTATTAGTTTTTCATACAACTCTTTCTAGTGTACGAACATATAATATTTTCCTTGGCACTACTTGTCAGTGATTCGAGTAATTTTAATAGGCATATATATACGAAGTGGTTACAGTGTGAATGTTACGTTACGTTGGCAGTGCCGAGGTCTAAGGCCTCCCATAATAAAAACATAATAACAAAAAAATAAAAGAAATTGTAAAACATTATGTGATCAATTTTTAAATTGTATTGAAAAAAAAAACCAAATTTGCTCTTAAAGTATGTGAGGGGGAAAAATAGAAAATGAATTCTTTTAAAAATAAAAATGTTAAATTTTCTATGGTATTTGTTTTCATCCTTTTCAGATCACAAAGAGCAACGTGGTGGATGATATGGTCGAATCGAACCCCATACTATACAAGCCGGGTGAGAAACCGGACCACGTGGTCGTCATTAAGTATGTGCCCTATGTTGGTAAGTAAAAGTTTATCTAAAACCTTTGAATATGCATCAAACCATCAACCAAATAAATTTGATTATTTAGATCACCTACAAAATGTTATACTCATAATGTTCTTCAGACCGGATTTCGGTCACGACTCTAGTCTCAACGGAAACTATAAAAGCTTTTAGAAAAATTTACTTCGCAAATATCCGTGTTATAAAACTAGCCATTTGCGCAGCATTATAGTGGATTATATATTGCCCGAGTGTATGCACAGGTGCATTTTGTATTTCCTTACTCTATAGTCTGATGGGACGGTAATCCGACACAACCGGAAAGAGACCCAGGCCTCGGATCAACGGCTTTACGTGCTTTCCGAGGCACAGAGGACTCAAACACCGCCGACACAAACACCACCAACTTTTCGACTCCGGGCTGCTACTGAGAATTTAATGACAGAAAAATTCAATAACAGATTCTGGCCCGACCCGGGTTTCGAAACTGATACCTGATGAATAGCAATCGCGTTTACGACCACTGTTACAGTGGTAATTAAATAATTATACTTTGCTGTTTTTTTTTTAATAGAATAAGGGTGACAAACGAGCACATAGTCCATCTGATGGTAAGTGAATACTGTGGACCATAGACATCTATATCTATTCTCGATTAAGAATTAAAGTGCGGATTTGCTGTCACCCCTAAGGACTAAAAGCGTATCCCACACAAAAGCGGCTTGCGGTGGCGGCCAGTTATATTCGCCTGCAATGTAAGTGAGTCTGCAAACACGTGTGGACCTGGCGCGGCCTGCGAGCGACTTGCCACGTCCCCTCCGCCTAGGGTTACCAGATGAAAAAATCAAAAGTCCGGAGAAAATGCCTGATTTCCATTGAAAAATCCTGAGATTTTTTAGTTTGTGAATATTTTCTCAAACGTACTTAACAATTTAAAAAAGTCGTAATATTATCATTTTTATACACTACGAATCTCGCTCACGCGTTGCACATCGCACTCAAAGCGCGGGGGGGTGGAGGGAGGCAGCAGCACACCCCTCCCACGCACCGCCCCTCGCCGCGAAACGCGGGTACCGCAACAGTGCAGTGACGCTCACTCACTTAGTTCCACGCCATTGCGAAGATTGGACTGCGCTGCTTTGAGTGAGTGTCGCCACGGTAGAGCGAGAATCGCAACCGGATACGAGTTAAAAATGTCTTCAAGTACCAAGCGACCACGGTACAGCTGTACATTCACAGATGTTTTAAAAGAAAAATTTCCGATTATGAAAGATGGTAGAGAACCTACCGAAGTGTTTTGTTCAATATGCAACAATTATGTTTCAATTAAGTTCAAGGGAGCTGCCGATATTGAAAAACATATACTAACGGAAAAACATAAGAAAAATGTTTTAACTGTTTCAAGTAACACGAAAATTGACTCTTTATTTCATCCACAAAGTTCTGGATTGACAGGCAAAAAATCCGCCGCTGAGGCCACATTAGCTTTTCACACAGTGAAACATCACCAATCATTTAAATCTATGGATTGCACCAGCCAACTGGTGAAGGCTATATTTGCCGATTCCATCACTGCGAATAGTATTTCTTGTGCAAGAACGAAGACTGAGGCCATTGTTACGGGCGTGATATCTCCGTGGGTAATTGAACAGGTAAAAGTATCATTACAAAACGTTAACTACTTGGGCGTTTCCACAGATGCAAGTAATCACGGCGCAGAAAAAATATTTCCAATTATGATACAATTTTTTGACTGGCAAGAAGGTATTAAAACAAAACTGCTGGATGTGCTGAGCACACCCGATGAAACTGCTGACACTATAACAGAGATAATTAAAACAAGCTTGCATAAGCACGACTTGTTGACAAAATGTGTATCATTTACAGCAGACAACGCTAATGTTAATTTTGGCGGAATTAATCGGCGACCGGGGCAAAATGTGTTGACTAATTTAAAAAACATATTAGAAAAAGATATCGTAGGAGTTGGGTGCCCAGCGCACATTCTACACAATTGTATTCAACACGGCACTGATAATCTTCATATTGATATAGAATCTGTAGTAATGAAGTTGTTTAATTATTTTTCCGTATACACCGTACGCACGGAGGCGTTGAAGGATATCAGCGAGTATATAGATGTTAATTATCAGAAACTTTTGTTTCATAGCAAGACACGATGGCTTAGTCTGTTTTCAGCGATCGAAAGAATATTGAAGATGTATGAGCCGTTGAAGCAGTACTTTTTGTCTACTCCTGGTGTACCAATAACTTTAAAGAACTTTTTTGAAAATGAACTCAGCGAAATTTATTTATTTCTCGCTCACTCCTTGATGTCAATCTTTCAGGCAAGAATTGAAGACATCGAAAGAGAAGGTAATTCTGTTCTAGATATTAAAAGAATTCTCGAATCCGCACATGAAATTTTAGTTGCACGAGCGAACGCAAACTTCATGCCACTAAAAGTGCGAGAATTGCTGGCTAAGTGCACTGCGGAAAATCAAGAAGTTTTCAAACAAAACCTTAAAAATATGTATAAGGCTTGCATAGAATATCTGATCAAGTGGATGAAGCCTTTAGATGATTTCAAAGTCTTTAATTGGTTGATGCTGAAAAGGGGCGAAATGATCGACTTTGATCAGATTGCGTTATCAATTTATTATCTGAATGGAAAAGGAGTACACATCGATGATGCAAAATTATTCGATGAAATTGCAGTTCTCAATAGTTTTTTAACAAAACAAGAAGAAACGTTTTTTGACGTAATGCTTCATGCGTTATGGGCAACCATTTTCAAGACAATAGGTATTTCACGATTACCAGAAATGATGCGTATTTGTCAATATATATTTGCAATTACAGCTCAGAATGCAAACTTAGAAAGAGTTTTTTCTATCATGGGGCTCAATGGTCAAATGAAAGAAACCGACTAACGGTATCTTCAGTTCGAGCTATATTTTTAATTAAATATAATTTGAAGAGTTTAACATGTGAAGCATTTTATAAATCCATTATTAGAGAAAAAACCTTACTTGAAAAGGTATCTTCACACATTAAGTACGATAAAACTGAATAAGTACCTACTTAGATAAATAAGTATTGATTTTAATTGTGCAATTATTACCAAAGGAAGATTATTTTTAATTTGTTAATTTTTTACTAAAGAAATCTTTAAAATGTAAACAGTATTTTATTGAAAATTCTAAAAATCCTGAGATTTCCAGAAATTTGCAAAATCCGGCCGCAATCCTGAGAAGAGTCCAAAAATCCTGAGATCTCAGGACAAATCCTGAGATATGGTAACCCTACCTCCGCCCCGCCCCCTCCTCTCCTTCCGCCCACTGCGCCACCGCATGTGTGTGAGCGAGCGCGTGTCCAACAGGTGGGAACAGGCCGCGTGTACTGCATGAAAATGCCGCTATATACCATTGAGCTATTATGTACTACGTACGTAGCTCACTCAAGTTTTGAGATGCTCGAAAAAAATAGACGCACCCGTGTTATCAATATTAAAAAAAAAAATCTATAAATTTTCCTGCAACGCTTCCCGCACTTTTCATTTAAAACGATGGATTTAAATGAAGAGTTCACAACTGTGAACATTTGCGCACTATGATATATTATAATTTTAAATTTGGTTTAACCGAACAATTAACTTTACAACGGTTAAAATCAGCATTAGGATACTCAGCTCCATCACCACCAACAATTTTTAGGTGGTTTGCTGAATTCAAAAGGGGTAAAATTAATCTTAAAGATGACTAAAGAACCTGGGCCTACTGAAATGTTGGTGCGAGAAGACCCACGAATCACATATATTCGCTTCGAAGTATTCGCTTGTATCGCCAATTCAATACTGACCGGGTCGTGGTCTATACCGGCCTTATGTTATAGGGCCTCAGATAATTTCCAGAACCTACTACTGTAGAAACATCTAGAATGTTCGAGTTCATACCGGTCTCGACTGACGAGGTGTCGATAGTTCTAGAAAGTTCTTACATGGAAATTTCTAGAAGGATATTGATTCTCCTAGTTCTGCTACTCGATACTAGAAAGCGCTAGTGGTAACTAGTGTCGCCATGCACCAGGCATTAATTGTGGCCCGAGACACTTCCCCCTCCTAAGGCACGCTCTTCTCGAGTATTATCGGCCCCATAATAACGCGCCAGTCGATCCACATGGACGATCTTAGAAGTACCCTTCTGTGTCTGGCATGTTACGTCACTGATCCTTGTCACAATCCGGCACGGTCCGTCCCATTTAGCTTGAAGCCAAGGAGATCTCCCCTTGTTGCGAACTGGATTGTGTATCCACACAAGTGAACCTTCGTCGAACCCTTTGTTGTTCATTCTGCAGTCATACCGTGTTTTCATCCACGATGACATTATGCAGGTAGATCATGTTGCCTAGCTTCAACTCCATCTCCTCTCCACGGACGGGTATGCGCTGACCGGTGGCTGTCAACCATTAATGCGTTCTCGGTGGTATGCGGAGTCCCCAAGGAACTGAAAACTGTGCGAGAGGCTCCAGTGTCTATGGTCAGTTTACACGGCGTTCCGTTGACCTCGCCATTGATGATTTGGCTGTTCCCGTCATGGGTTTATAGGATCGAATTCCTTGGGGCTCTTTTAATATCAGCCAGCACCCGCCCCACAGTCCTGGCTTTTATTCGTTTCCCTACTGCTACTGAGCGGTGCTGTTAGCCGCACTACCCTCTCGAGATCGATCACCTTCCCTTTCTACAGTTCGCTTAGGTCAGCTGGATCGAAGATGGCCCCTTTTCCTACAGCCTAGGGCTGTATCCTTTATTGCGGTCACAAACTGTAGCATACTGCTGCAACCTCCCTGACGCGATGAGAACGATGATCCTGCCGCACGGCTTCCACCTCCATACAGTGCATAGGCCAAAGCGTCCTTAAGCGTCTCGTGGTGCCTGAGCTTCACAGCAGCTCTGACTTCAAGGTCGCGGATGCCGTCGACAAATGTTTGCACCAGGTTCCCTTCAATGAGCGCAG